ATATAATATTTAATGTCTTCTATGTTTATTATTATTATTATTACTACTATTATTATGTATTTATTTATTTATTTATTTATTTTTACAGATTTTCAACCTTAGCACAAGATTAATGAGGAATTGTCTCTATCACTATCATAACATAGAAGGCATTAAGTTATGTTTTCATAATATTACTTTTAAAGGACAATCAAATTTCAAAATTGGAAAATAATTTTATGAGAAATAAAATTTAAACTTTTGAATTTAAGATACATAATATTTATCTATATACTTGAATTAAGATAAATAATATTTATCTATATCTAGCTAGCGTTGAATTCTATCTTGAACAATATCACTATTATAAGTCATTTAGCAAATTTAAGACTATTCACAATATATATAATAACATTAAATTAAGTTGAAAATTGCGATTTTAAAATATACTATAAGTTTTTAATTTTCAATTTTTAACTTTTTAAATTTGAATTCAAAGATAACTATCCATATATATATATATTATTACAATAATTTAAATTGTGTACTAATAATGTAAATTTAATATTGTTCAAATACACAAGTTAATGATTTGTATTATTATATTGTTATTATAATAAATTAAATATATTATTAAGTGCATTATATATTTTATTAGTTATTTTTAATTATAAAATTATTACATTTTAAATCATCCGCGCAACGCGCGGGCACGTATACTAGTTGAAATAGTAAAACAACGGATTTTAACAATATCCTGAAGCGCCAAAATTGGCATCAAATTATACACATATACAGGTGAAATAAATGCGTTAAAAAAATATAGACTAATAAATAAAATTCATAAAAAGACATAAACCCTACTTATCAATTATTTTTAATTCATACAACTAAGAATAAATTTTCAAAGAGCAATTAAGAATTAAGAAAATTTGATCATAGAATTTTATACATAAATTCATATATACAGATACATAAAGGGAGAAATCTTACTCATTAAATTTGCCAGGGAATTAATGACATCGTTTATTTAACTAACTGAAGTGATAGATCCATTGGTGGCTAATGATTGATTATTGCAAGAGGAGTTTTTCAATGAAAGAAAAATCATTTGGTATGAACTGATATACTACCATTAAGGATAATGTTAAACGGTTTATATCCAGTTGTTGCTAATTTGTAGGATGTGGATAATAACTAAGAAAATATTTCTTATTTATTATTATAATTTTATTGTTTCTGTTTTTTTTGTTATAATTTTAGTGATTTTTCTTTGTCATACAATTTTATCTCTTCTATTTTTAAAAAATAAAGTAAATTGTGTGAGAAGTTGTAGTGATTTAAAACATGAAAACAATAGTTAGTTTGCATTTTATTAGGAAAAAATATATTTAGTTTATTTTCTTATTATTTAAAAAGAGTCCACTTCAACCGTTTTTAACATACACGAATTCTAAAAGCTGTTTTATTTATTTTTTTAAATTGATACTCACTTTATTTAATAATATCTAGAAATTAAATTGTTGTATTTATTATTTAATATATCTAGAAATTATGGTGATGACATGTGACACTATTTCCTCTCCTAGTATTCTACTATTATATAAGAGGGAGTTTATGATGGGACATTCTATGTGTCCCATCATAAACTCCCTATATAATATATAATATAATAAATCATTTTTTCTACTATATAATATATATCATTTTTTCTAGGCCAAACACATGTACAACCCCTTAAACTTGTCCTGAAATTCCATTTTAACACTCCAACTCACCCTTGTTCCATTTTAACCCTTCAACTTCAATTTTTATGTTCCATTTTAACACAAAATGGTGACTTGGCATATGGTTGTCATCTCACTTTTAACAGGCGCGTGATGATCCCATTAGCCTTAATATTTGGCATTTTATCTATTTATTTCCTCTATCTCTTCTTCTTTCTTATTTTCTATCTATTTTATTTGGCCATTTTATTTTATTTTGTTTTATTTTAATTTTTTACTTATTGCATTATGGATGCAAATACTTTAAATGGATCGAACTTGAATGGTAGTGACATTTCATTTGTGAAATAAGCTAGGTTTAAGTGTACGATTATGTAGAATTTTATGTACCTATTATTAAACAAACGAAACTGATTTTTCTATGTGACAGAAGGTGTCGATTTTTTTTTCTTCATAAACACACGCCTAAGCTGCTACAACAGACATTTTCACCACATCAATTAATAACTTAGTTTGTAAAGATCATTGCAACACAAAACTACTAAAAAAACTCATTCTTCAATCAAACACCACAAGTATAGCCATAAAAAACACTAGCTAACCGCACCTAAAATGAATCCCAATTGAATTCAAAATTTCAGAACAATTTCAACACCACCAGACATTATAAGTTCAGCAAAAAAGCCTGAGCTAACACTGAAAATTAGTTAAGAAAGGCTATACAAATTCACTTAAAGAAACAATCAAATACCAAAAAGTTCAGCCATTCTATTTGCCAAAATACCAAAATAAGAGTGAATTCAAAAAATTCCAATTAGCTCTAAATAGTTACATCAAAATAAGAGTGAGATTTGAAGTTCAAGTTAACTCTAAATAGTTACACCAAAATATGAGTGAGCTATTTGAAGTTCAAGTTAGCTCTAAATAGTTCCACAAAAACAAGAGTGACAGCCATTAGATTTGCAAAATATACACTACATATTGTTTCCATTCCCCTGACATATTAAAGATGTGTTTGGTTGAGTAGAAGACTCCAAGTTCCTTCTTGTTCTCAACTGTTGAAGCTGAGAAGTTGACCATGCATTTTTGCCTTTCCATTTGAGACCATAAGGTTTAAATCCAAGTTCTATATTTGTTGGTGATGCATCTTTAAAAGTTCCAGGTGATATCACTCTCTCAGATGTAGTTATACCAGGCTGTAAAGTGGCAAATCACTCACTTTAATTAGTATAAATTAAAAATTTTATTTACAACTTTTAAGCAAAAGAATTATAATGACTATTGTATTAATTGAATAAAGATTCTCTCGATAACTTACATTCAAGACTGTTCTTCCACTTTGAATATTTGTGTAAATTCCAAAACCAGCTGAGTGCTTCCATTATTTGTTGGTTGATCATTGTCTCTTCCCCTTCCTCTTCCAGTAGCATTTGTTGCAAAATATCCTCTTCCCCTTCCTCTTCCTCTTCCAGTAGATTGACTTTGGTTACTTCTTTTCACAGCAGATGTGTCAGTACACATTGAAGGTGGATTCATATTCTGAGAAGCTCTATTTGGAGGTGGTGCCATTGGTTGAGCTGGTCGACTTGATTGACTAGAAGTAGCTTCAGTCTAATAAATAAGAACACAATCAACTGCGTTCAAATAAATCCAAAAAGATGAATGCAAAATAATTTCGAAAACTGATAATTGAATATAAAGTAACAATTACCACTGATTTACATGCAGATTTGTTGTGGCCCAATTGATGACATCTTGAACAAGTCATCTTCACCCCTTTCTTTGACAACTTGCCATATTTTTTTCTTGGCTCATCCTTCTGTTTTCTCCTGCATCTTCCAGGTCTTCCTGGCATAGGTTTTACTTCAGGAGGTTCAATAGAAGGATTGTTGGATTCAGGTCACATTTTCATGTTAGGAATAGGTTGTATGGAGTATTGGTAAGCCTTCAGGAATACTTCATGTCTGTACCAACTTTCAATTTCATTCTCAAGTTCTTGATCTAAGTGATAGAAGGCACATACAGCATGAGGACATGGAATTCCTCTCAACTGCCAACTTCTGCAAGTACAAGTCCTTCTTACTTGGTCAACAATAAACCTAGTATCACCCTCACTAATCTCAAATCCAGAATCTCCATTCCATAATACTTTACACCTCTTAGAGATATCTTTATTTTCTTCTAAAATTAACCTTGCCATTGGAGAAACATCAGTTATCCAAGTATTAGCGAATCTCCTCATATCGACATGCCTATTCATAATTTTGTGTCTGATTTCCTCCAACATAGTAATAATAGACTTATGTCTGGGACCGACTATCCAAGAATTATAGGTTTCAGACATGTTGTTTTCAACAATATCACATTTAGAAGATGTAGAAAAAAAAGCCTTGCACCAAAATTCTTTATTGTATGATAGTAGCTCTCCACATATACCTTCATTAGGTTTTGCAAGTTTTGCAAGTTCATCCTTCAACTTCACTTCATATGAAGCCTTAGCACATCGCCAAAACTGCTTCCTTCTTTCTTCTCCTTTCCAATTTATGGACCAATTAGACCATATGTGTCTAGCACACCTTCTATGTTCTGCATTAGGTAAAAGCTCTTGAATAGTTGGAATAAGACCCTACAAAATATGAAAATTAGAAACTTTCACAAACAATATAAAATAGAAAAAAAAATCTGAGTTGTAAATATAAATGATTAAAGAGAGAATACCTTTTGACAATCTGACATTATTGTTAAGCCCACACCATTTCCTAACTCCAAATCTGAAATCAAATATTCAATGAACCAAGTCCAAGAATGTTTAGTCTCTTGATCAACAATAGCCCATGCTATGGGAAACATCTGGTTGTTCCCACTCCTACCAACGGCTACCAGTAATTCCCCTTTACATAATCCCTTCAAGAAGCATCCATCAAGACCAATTATTTTCCTACATCCTTCTAACCAACCCCTTTTAAGGGCATCAAAACACACATAAAAATACACAAACAAATTTTTTCCAGGTATTGTATCCTTGTCTGTCCTAACCCAACAAGAACTTCCAGGATTTGTCTTCTTAATAATGTCAGCATAGTCACATAATCTAGAGAATTCCAGATTCCAATCACCCATGAACTGACTCATTACCCTGCACTTAGCTCTAAAACAAACAGTCCTCCCTACATACAAACCCAACTCATCCCTTACCAACTCCTGAATCTCCCAAAGTTTTATGTTAGGTTGAGATACAATCCTACCTTGAAATTTATGTGCAATGTACACAGAAGTGCATAACTTGTTCTTGTTTTTAGTAGGACATCGATGAAATGGGTGGTACTTCTTCACAATAAAGTCACCAGAATTCTTGTCAATGCTTGCATATATCTCCCATTTGCATAGGATTTTACTTTTACATTTGACTCTAATTCTGTGCTTTTCATTAGGCTTAAGTTCGAGTTGCACTTTGTTCTCTACGACATAAGATTGCACAGCTTTTCTAGACTGCACAACACTCTCAAAGACCATGCCAAGTTCAAAAATAGTTATCTGACAATTCGGATCAAACCTTAGTTTTCTACTCTTTCTTCTAGCCGGTAAGTCGATGCCTCTTTGAGCTAGAACATCCAACTCATCTCTACTGGTGTCACTACCAATATCTGAGCTACTGTAACACTCCTCATCTCCCCCCAATCTTCCAGCATACTTGTCTCTTTTGTTTAGCCTGATAATGTCATCAAAACCTTTGTCTGCTCCAGCCTCTCCTAGCTCAACCTCTGGTGTTGGAACATGCACCTTTCTCTTATTTTTCTGATGAATTTTCTTTCTTCTTTCTGTTCTGAATGCTCTTAACTCCTCATCTAACTCACTATCATCTTCCTCAGGTATAACATCTAATTCAGATTCACTACTGTCCAGATTTGAAGGCAAATCACTATCATCTTCCTTCGCATTAACATTTTCATCTCTTATATATGCTGTTTCTTCCTGCTCGGTAACATGTGAACTGGTTGTTGCATCTCTAGCAATAAGTTGAGGGTGTTCACCTAATGCAAACCCCTAGACCCCATATTTTATTGAATTCTCACTGTTTTGAACCACCCCAAGCTCACTTGAAAATTCAAATGGGACCCTCTCTTCCACCAAAATAGGTTGATTAACGACATGGCTAATAAACAAGTCTAAAAAAGCACCATGTTTAAGGTGAGATACAATATTTAAAATCTGTCTGTCATTTTCCAACAAAACAAATTCATTGGAATTAGAGTTAAATACATATAAACCCCCAACAGATGCATACCCTATATCCTTTGCATAAGAACTCAATTCAACCAAAGAAAAATGGTCTTTATCGATAGGAGTGACCTTTATTTCTCCCTCCCCAACATATTTTGGATTTGAAGCATTGATAAAAGAACCACCATGATGGAATCGAACAAGAATGTATTCTTCTGCCATGAGTTAGATTTACACTGACATGAAAAGAAAAGGGAAAAAAAGAGTATCATCAAAAAATCAGAAGATCTACAGCGAATTTCGAAACTAAAAATCTAAATCTTGTATCAAAAATGCCTGATGAGAAACACTAAAAAAAAAAGAAGAAAAACCACATAGCATCCAAAAAGAAACTACAAAGAATGGTTAAAAGATTTGCTTACCAGCAACAACCAAGGCAATATTAACTTTTAGAAGATCTTAGTCTTCAAATGTGATTTTTAGTCTTAAAATGGAAAGAAATCATTGATAATTGCAGAAAGTTTCATCTTCTAAGGGTGGGGATTTGGGGAAGGATTGTTGTTTTGAAAGGTTTTTCCAAAGATTAGGTTACAAAAGTCTCTTCATTTTTGGAGGGAAATAATTAAAGGATCCGTAATAGACATGGGTTAACCCGGATGATATGGAGAAAATAAAACACATGGCAGTATGTAATTGGTTGTTTTTTACTTGTGTAACACGCGCTTAACAAATATGTAAGGTAAAACAAATGTGTTAAAATGGAACAAAAAATTTGGAGTTGAAGGGTTAAAATGGAACAAGAGTGAGTTGGAGTGTCAAAATGAAATTTTAGGACAAGTTTAAGGGGTTGTACATGTGTTTGGCCTTTTTTCTACTATATAATATATATAATATATATTTATTTTTCTACTATAAGGGAGTTTATATAATATATAATATAATATAATTCTACTATTATATAAGAGGGAGTTTATGATGGGACATTCTATGTGTCCCATCATAAACTCCCTATATAATATAATAAATCATTTACAAATGACTTAAAATATTTAATATTTAAAAGATATATAATAAAATAGGTTGACTCTCAAAATTCTATCCGGGTCA